ACAAGCTGTAAGTGCAGACGTTTCTCTATATATATACTACTTATAATATATAGTCACATATGCCAGCAGCACAGGCGGGCCTCTCAAGGTCTACATCATACTTAAACTAAAAAGTTCTGCAGCGCTTCATACATAGTGTCTATGCCAAATTACCATATGAAGCAATTGACCTCTTTGCATATAGAAATATTTTCTTTAATCAAACGCAACAGCCGAAGAATTAATCAATTAAAAGACGAGCACTCGTTAGCTATATTAAAATATAGTTGAAAATTTAAAATCCATTTCGCAAAAAATAAAAAAAAAACTCTTGCCATGCATTCATAAAAATAATTGCTTTTTCTTTTTGAAAAACATTTTTGGCACAGCTCAAGCAGCTAATTGAAAAGCAGAGAGCAGGGAGAGTACGACCCATAGCTGCAGCCAGATCAGGTCTAAGCATATACATATATCTATATATGCAACATATGTTGTGTAATTAACAACAGTGCAACGTGAATTACAAGTCGGAAATGAAAACGAAATCAAAAACATAAACCATTGCTGGTTCAGTTTCTGTTTTATTTTATACTTCCATTTCATCCCAATTCATAGCATATTACAAAATATCATTAGAAATTTCATCTTTAAATACTCTTTACAATCGAATTTCACGTAAGTTTTTTAGCCAAAAGATAAGTATATTCTGCTGGGAGCAATAATCATATGATGATAATGAATAAGGTTTAAATATATTTGAATTTTATTTAAATTCTTATTTATTTTAAATATTTTAAAAAATAGATAACTATCAAGTATTTTAAAATTTCTATCATAGTTGATCTACAGGTTTGTATAATTTTCACTAATAGCTAATGATCATTATACAGGGTATTTGCTAATCGAAGAAAATTAAATATTAATTTATTAAAAATATTTTCATTAGTATTCCATTAAAGCTACTTAGAATATAGATGAAAGTTAATAATAAATGAACATCAATATAAATAAATTAATACTAAATAACAATGACTGATAAGCAAACATTTTTAACAGAAGTAAATCTAAAAGTTCCATAAAACCCAAGTAGAATATAGCCAAAAATTAATATTAAATTTGCCTTTAACAAATAGATTTTATTCGTATTATTACATTGAATCTTGAACTAAACAAAAATATATATACAAATATATTTTAGTCACCCTGTCAGAGTGCATAGAATAGTCGAATAGTCCCCCAGCC